TATTCCTTGTGAATTAATCTCTTTTATTAAATGAGGTGAATTTATTCCTGGCTTAGATCTTACTGCTCTTAAAACATAATTCACGAATAGACAAATTGAATTACCCAGTTTCATTTTTGGGAAAACAACTGTGGTTTCTTCAGTAAAGATATAGGTAGGTAGGTAGGTAGGTAGGTAGGTAGATAGATGGATAGGAACATTAATTATAAGGAAGTTTAGATTTCCATGCTCAAGAGTTTGAATTGAGAATAATGATTTGCTAATTGGAGTATGAAACTGCACATAGAAAACCACTCAAGAAATGATGGCTGAGGATTTTCTAAAGCTGAAGATAGACATGAAGTAATATATTTCAGAAACCCAAAACAGAACAATAAGAAGATGAAAGTGGAGATGGAGAAGAGGAAAGGAGAATAGGGTGAACAGAGAGAGAGGAAGGGAGAAAGGGAAAGGAAGAGGAGGAAAAAAGAAGAGAAAAGATTTCTACTTAGATATATTATTGTGAAACTTCAGAAGAGAAAGGGCAAGGAGAAAAATCTTTGAAATGGCCAGATAAAAAGGTAAATAGCCTTAAATAGTCTTAAATGAGGTGAAATTTAGTTGAATTTCTAGCTTCTTAAGCACAATTATAGAAGCCAGAAGATTTGGAACAATAATTCTCGTTAACATTAGAATTGATTGGTCATTGTTGCACGTTGCAATTCTCAAGTAATCACTAAAACAGTTGTCAAAATGTATGACTTTCAAAATAACAAATGAAAGAGTAATAAAAAAATGACTAATCTAAAAGAGTACAAGGAATCAAGGAGGAAAAATAACAAGAAAATAGATCATGTTGGGGAACATGGAAACCACATGGTAAGATGATACATTTAGAACCATATATATGAGTGTTATGGTTTGGATGTAAGGTGTCCCCACATGTGAGAAAATGCAAGAAGGTTCAGAGAAAAAATGATTGGGTTATCAGAGCCTTAACCCAATCAGTGAATTAATCACCTATTAGGATTAATTGAGTGGTAATTGAAGGCAGGTGGGGTGTGGCTGGATAAGGTGGGGCACTAGGAGCCTGGCTTTGGGATATATATTTGTATGGCAAGTGGACATCTTTCTCTTCTGCTTTCTGATCATAATGTGAGCTGCTTCCCTCTGCTACACTCTCCCACCATTATGTCTTGTCTCACCTTGAGTCCTGAGAAATGGAGCCTGCTGTCTATGGACTGAGACCTCGGAAACTGTGAACCCCCAAATAAACTTTTTCTCTTCTCAATTGTGCTGATCAGGTCTTTAAGTCACAGCAACAACAAATCTGATTAAAACAACAAGGAATTGCCATAATTTAAAATAATTAATTTTTTACCTAAAATATTGTTATATCATGTTTTAAAATTTCACTATATGCTATTTGCAAGAAGCATATCTAAAATATAGCATTGAGAAAAATCCAAGTTTATAAATGGAAAAAATATAACACTAACTTAAAGAAAATTAGTTGATAATTTTAATATAATAAAGCCAAAAGCAAAAGGCATTACTAAAGTTAAAGTGACTTCATAATGATAGAAGAATTTAATTTCCCAACTAAAATATGAATTTTAATATTATCTTACCTAATAATCCTTTAATATACAAGTATGTCTTCCTATATAAAGTTTCAATATCCAAATTCTTATTAAAACAACCTACAAGAAGTTATCCAAAAATTCTACTCAAGGGTAGAAAACGTCCCAGAATCTACATACATATCACAACAAAAACCATTCACATTGCTCATAGCTCAGGTTACAGTATGTGCAGTACTACGAATGTCCTTTTTCTAGTTGCTTAGCCCCTTAAAGTCTCCTGCTTCCTTCTGCCAACACCTTGAGCCCAAATCAATCTAGGTTCAATTTAGATGGTATTTTGTTCTTATATCACCATACTTTCAGTGAAATGGAAAAGAATATATACAGCAAAATTTACTTTTAAATGTATCCAAAAGTTTAATATGTTGCCTTTTAAAAGGAGAGATGGTTTAAATAAGAAAGAGCTTCTAGGCAGCAGGTTCCTAGTGTTCTGAAATATTTCATTTTTAATATGAGCAATGATATTCACATGATATATACATGATATATAGTTCTTCATTAATTTTATAGAGTTTTGCAAACATTCTATGTGGTTAGTATGAAGTAGAAAATACCATAGATGGCTTAGTATGACCTAATATGTCAAAGAGAATGAATCTCACCAAAATCTAGAACCTCAGTGAAGTTTCTGGCATCCAATTATATATATTTCCTGTCAAGACACCCCTACAAAGTGAAAGATAAGTTGTTGAATCTGTAAACACCTATCACCAATGTAAACACATAATGTTTGTTGGACCACTATGAATTGGGGAGGGATTTGTGTGTGATATTTTGCTCAGTTGACATCAAATCTTACAAACTTTGAGACATTGAGCATAAAAGAAGGGTTGCCAGCTTATCCAGGATGCAGGCATGAAGTTCTGCCAGTGCTCACTAACGATCCAGAAGTTCCAATATGGCCAAAGTGTCTGTGGCAGATCAAGAGGTTGACTGGGTGGTCAGGGACATGGGAGTGTCAAGCTTGTGGAAGGGACATCCAGGAAGTTTATGGAAGACATATGAGATTATGTCTCTCAAAATAGATTCAGAGTATAAAGATACTTGTTATATTAATATGCTCCGCTGAAGAAAAAGGTTACTCATTATGCAAATTCTTATTATACAGAAAACGAGGATGTAAGCTTTATACAAGCCTAAAATATTATTATCCTCTCCAAATGCCCACACAGTTTAGCCTTTTTTCTGGACTAATGCAAATCCAAATAAGTAAATAAATATTGTGATAAATATTGGAGAATTCTCGTGAAAGCTGGGCTTGGCAAGGAGCGCTTGGCAGGAGCGTGCATGCTAAAGTGGGGCAGGAGACAGGCAGGGAACCACCATCAAGGGGTCTGGGTTTGTCACTTCTGGAATCTCTGCAATCCGTTGTCGCTGCATCCTCACTTTGCTGCCTTGACTGCCTGCAACCTGGTGCTGATCCTGCACAGGTGAGAGCACCTGGAACATGGAGAATTCTTCAATGGCTAGCACGACCTCGGACCATAGCCTGGTTGGCCACGAGGAATGCTGGTTAGGCAGGCACTGAGAGATGCTAGCAAGCCATGAATTTGATATCTACTTTACCTGGGTGCAGAAAAGGGCAATCTGAACCCTCTGGAAAGTGCTGAATACCATTGATTAGATGTGGCTGCCAGCTGCAGGTGGTGAGGATTGGGAGCCTCGATGAGCCACACTATGGGAGTCTGACTGACCTCAATAAAGCACAAATTGCTGCCAAGAAATGGAGGCCCACCTCCAATGGATCCTTATCATCCCTGCTACAGCAATTTCAGTAAGGATCACATATATGCAGGCCTTACTGAGGATCAGCTACCCTTCTGTGAAAGTGTGAAGAACACTATTGCCTAAGTTCTTCTCTTCTGAAATGAATAAATCCCTCACCAAATCAAGGAGGGGAAACGAGTTCTGACTGCCATCCATGGCAACAGCTTTAAGGGCATCAATGAGCATTAGGAGTGTCTCTCTGAAGAGGCCATGATGGAGCTGAACTTGCCAATTGGGATTCCCATTGTCTATGAATTGGACAAGAACTTGAAGCCCATCAAGCCCATGTAGTTCCTGGGGTTGAAGAGACCTTTGGTGGAACTGTCGCTGCTCAGAACAAGAAATAAATGCAAAACAGTACACACTTGTACCAAGGAATGCCCTGCCCATCCTTTCCTCTGCACCTATCTCTTGCATGTATCACACTGACCACATCTGTAGGCATTTTAAGTTGCAACTGCTAATGGGGAATGGTAGCTTTCATTTTAATTTTAACATTTAGTCTCCTGCACCCACTCTCTTCATAGAATCTAGTCAGAATAGGACCCTGGGACACAGATTGTCAGTCCAAGCCCAGGTAAGGCTCCTCTTATTAGGGAGAGTTGAAGTTGTGATTCTGGCTTTTTCTAAGTGCCATATAAGAACCTCCTTTAGAACAGAATAGGGAGGAACTAATAAAGAAGAAGCATGAGAAGAGAGACAATTTATGTTCCTGAGATCCCATTCTGTACTATACTGTAGTCAGGTCTTAGGGTGGGGCAAGGGGAGGGAGCCTCTAGTTATTCCAGTGAAATATAAATGTAACTCACATGGCAATTTAAAAAAAAAAAGGTATTTCCTCCCTGACCCCAGAGGAGCTAGTTCTAGAAGGTTGGTATCAATACTGAATTAAGTTTGTGTTACACTTACTTTCATAAAAAGAAAAACATGTATATATATATATAATACCACCCTTCTGGTGTTTCTAGTGGTGATTAAATAGTCCCACTTGTGATTACCAGAAAATAAGCCATTTCTCACAACACGTGGGATAAGCTCCTTGGCGTCTAAGGTGTGTATATCTTTCTATATATCTTAGAATTCCTCCTCTGCCTTGTTTTGTAGTAGCAAAATGCATCTTGATCATGTGTAAGTGTGTCTTTCACTCCGATTTCTGAACCATGTTCCAGTTGCTTGGCCCTGCCACTAGGGGCCAGTACTCATTTTAAGAATAACTGTACAAAATTTTTTGTCCAGATCAGTATGCCAAAAGAGTGATATGAAATTTAAAAAAAGAAGAAGAAAATGTAATAATATGCATATGTCACATTCTTTAAGTGAAATTCAATATGAAATTTTCAAAAGAATATCCAAAAGCCAATTCTTGTGAAAATTTTAGAACACCATAGACTAAAAAGAAAATATTCTTGCAATTAGCATTATGTAAAGGGAAAAATAATGAGATTAACAAATTTTATGACCTGTTGGATTTAGCCATAATGATAACCAAAGTAAATGTATAGCCTCGAATGTTTTGCTAATTACCAAAAAAAAAAAAAAACTAAAAACTATGGATTCTTTTATTTTTTTACAGTTATTTATTTTAAGAAGCTAGAAAAATAAGATACAAAATACAAAGGAATAATTAATAGAAGAAGGAAATATGGTGGAATAGAGAAAGGGTACATTTTTTAGCAACTCCGTGGCCTGGGATTCAAGCAGAAGGAGTGTGGCTTCTCAATGAAGTGGGGGACAGAAGGGATTCACTGAAATTCAATACTGGATGGTAAGAGAATCTTAGAGACACAGAAAGTCAGGTTCTTTGAACATAGGACAAGAAAGAGTACTTTGGAGCTAGGCTGGTGGCACCAGCAACACCAGTTTATCTCAGAGGGGAGGAGTGACTGGCAGAAAGAGACAAAAACAGAGTGAATAAATTTGGCACAAAAGAATCTGTAGAACAGAGAGACAATCTGCACGATAATCTGTTGTTTGAAAAGTACTCTGCATTTCTTGGAGAGCTGAAGCAAAGGGCCATCTTGAAACACCCACATTGTGGCTTTCTGCTTCAGAGCCCAGGAGATCAAAGTAGGCTGTTTGCTGTGTTTTTCTCACCTAACCAGTGGAGTATAGCCAAAGTTATGGCATGTAACTGTTAAGGCTAGATGATTAAAGACATTGCTGCTTTCATTTGTGTTCTTAGGTCACTTGTTCTAGAGCAAGGTGGCTACTGTATTGTGAGAACATGCTAGTAGCTTGAGAGTGATTTCCATATGATGAGGAGCGGAAGCCCTCTAACAGCCAATGCTAAGTTACCAGCCAAGAGTGAGCAATCTAAATTAGATCCCTCAGCCCTTGTTAGTCCTTCAGAAAACTGCAATTCTAATCACAATCTTAATCATAGGGATTTCTCTATGGCATTTTTAGTAACAGAGGCATAATTTTCAAATAATGCTGTCTTATAATTCTTCTAACAAATAAAATAGTGTAATCTCTGGAACAAGGAATGCATGTGGAAGTATGTATAAAGAAAGGTGAAAAAAGAATAAATAATAAATGAAAGAGCAGAACAAAGGGAGAAAAGACTTATTCTATTATTAGGGAAAATGAGAAACTAGAAGAGGATTGATTAAAGTGAAAAAAGCAGGGGAATATGTCCATAAATCTCTGTGACACAAGAATTGCATGTACATTACAAATAATTATCATTTTATGATGGGTCTGAATTTTCATGGTGTCAATGAATAAATTGATACTCATAGGTAAATCTTCTTCATCTCACATATTGAATTCCTTTTAGAATCACAGAAAACATCATTCCAACCCCATCCTCTAGATTCCCAGAAAACTATTGTAGCACACTGCTCTGCAGAAAAATTGGGCTCATTTTGGTGCCAGAATCTAAAGAGAAACAAAGGTAAATAGAATTATTCAATGAATGCATAGTGACTGATCAGAAAGTATATAAGTTTGATGTCTAGCAAAATTGGGTTGAGAACATTGGGAGAGAACATTCTAACAGTTTCTACCTTTTCTCATACTGCCCCTCACCAAAAATTTAAGCATGGAAGCACATTTTCATGTGTTTGTCTAACATTCTCCATGATGTGGTGAACCTCAGCCTGCAATCTGATGTTGACTTCCTCCTCTTTACAGAGCCATTTTCCTGACCTAGCTTATTAACAATTTCTTTCGTACCAGCACATCATAGAAGCTTCCTCTTTATATCCATTTATAAACAAGCATTTACATGCCTCTTGATAAGCTTCTCTGTTCTCATACAGCTGCCTTAAATGAGCATCAGGTACCTGAGTCTAAACATAAATAAGTTACCCTGCCTCTCAGGAATACACTATGGAGCAGGGCTGGGTAGTTGGTCATTAGTTTTGGAATTAAAGACAATTTTACTACTAATTTATCTTGCTATTAATCAAATGAATTAATCTTCTCAGGGATTAGATTCCTCATCTACAAAAACAAATCTTAATAAAGGTGTCTAGATAACTCACAAGATTGTGTGAGAGTAAAATAAGGTAGTACATAATTAAATTCCTTTTTAAAGGCCACAAAAGTATAATTACATAATTGTTAAAATTACACATAGTTCTAGCCCAGATATTTTGAATATTACTTATTAGAATTAATTTAAGTGGCTACTTATGTTTACAAGTCTATAGAAAACAATGCAATGACTAAGAGCACCATTTTTGGATAGCCATGGGATTGAAACAGAGTTTCTCATCATATTCATTCAATAATCTTGAGCAAACTTTTTCATTTTTCCTCTGAAAAGTGAATTCTAAAACAGAGAACTTTTCTTAAAATTTAAGAGTGTTCACTTAGTAAGAATTTAATAATTGTTAGATTATATTATCATCATTATAATTATTAATATTAATAGTCTCAAGATATTAACAAAATTTCCTAGATTTTCTAAGTGTACAAGGTCCTAAATTTCATTAATCTAGGTCTGAACTCACCTGACATTTTTTTCGAAAGGTGTATGATCAATCCATTGCCAATTATTATTCCCTTGTGGATCAGAGAGCCCCAGAAAATAAGAAAATGTTTCATTCAGCTGCTGGATAATGAAATTCTGCATGAAAAAAATAGGACTTAATAGACTTTGGAATTTCCTTATTAAACAGAATAAGTGTTTTTAATATCCTTTAAAGTATACTAAGAAAACACAGGATGCAAGGAACAGTCACATGGTGGCACACTAACCAAATATGCAGGCAAAAAACATCATCATTGCAAGGAGAAAGTGCTAACCCATAAATTCCCACCATTCATTCTTTCCTTTACCAAGAGACAGAAGGGTTTTAAATGGCCATAAGTTCATTTTTGTGCTTTTGACCACTTTTTTATTTTATATGTTAAGATGCTGTGATGGTTAGTTTCATGTTTCTACCTGACTGGGCCAAGGGGTGCCCAGATTAAAACTTTATTTCTGGGCATGTCTGTAAGTATGTTTCCAGGTATTATTAGCATCAGACTATGCAGAATCAGTAAGTAGATTGCCCTCCTCAGGGTGGATGAGCATCATCCAATTTGTTGAGAGGAACAGAATAAAAAACAAAGGAAGGTATGATTTGTCTTATATTTCATATTCTTTGCAATCAATGATTCCTGGACAAAGTTATGAAATAAATTTAGTAGTGTTCAACTATAAAGTAATAAGCATGCTTTAGGGCAACAGTAAAAAAGAAAAGAAAAAGAAAAAGGAGGAATTTATCCTATTTTCTTTGCTGTCTGCCTGACCAAGCTGTTATACCATTGGCTCCCCTTATTTTCAGGACTTCAGATCTGAACTGCAGTTACATCACTGGTTTTCTTGAGTGTCCTGAAAATTCAGCAAAGTTGCAGGATACAAAATCAACATACAAAAATCAGTAATATTTTCTTACACTAACAATAAACATAAAATAAGAAATTTATTTCTTCCTTAATTTTCTTTCTGAAAAGAAAATTAAGGAAGAAATAAATTTACAATAAAATCTAAAAAAAATACTTAAAAAAAAAACTTAACCTAGGTCAGGAGAGACATTGACAAAGAAAAATAAAGAAGACACAGATAAATGGAAAAGCATTTCATGTTCATAGATTTGTAAACTTCATATAGTTAAAATATCCATACTCTCCGAAGCAATCTACAGATTCAAAGTGATCCCTATCAAAATCCAAATGTCATTTTTTCACAGGTATAGGAAAAAATCTTAACATCCATGTTGAATCTCAAAGGACTCCTGATAGGCAAAGCAATCTTTAAAAAGAAGAACAAAGAAGACTCCTACTTTCTTATTTCAAAATATATTCCAAAACTGTTTTGTAATCAAAGCAGTATAGTAATAGCATGCAAACAGACATATAGACCAACAGAAAACAATCAGAGTCCAGAAATAAACCTTGACATATGTGGTCAAATTATCTTCAACAAGGTGCCAAGACCACACAATGGAGAAAGGATCATCTCTTTAATAAATGATGCTGGATATACTGCATATCCAAATACAAAAGAGTAAAGTTGGGCCTTTATCTATGACAAACACAAAAGTTACCCAAATATTTCAAAGATCTGAATGTAAGGTGTAAAACTGTAAAACTCCTAGAAGAAAACATAAGGGGAAATCTTCCTGACATTGGAATTGGCAGTGTATTCTGGAATATGACACCAAAAGCACAGGTAAAAAAGCAAAAATATACCAATAGGACTATATCAAACCAAAAAGCATCTAGGCAGCAAAATAAGCAAACAACTAATGAAAAAGTAGTCCATTTAATGGGAGAAAATATTTGGAAATCATAAATGATAAGTTGTTTATATCCGAACTGCAAAGAACACATACAACTTAACAACAGCAAAATAAGTAACCCAATTAAAACATGGGTGAAATACCTGACTAAACTTTTCTCCAAATAAATATATAAATGGCCAATAAGCATATATAACAATGTTCAACATCACTAAGCATTAGAAGAAGGCAAATGAAAACCTTGAGATATCACTATATACCCACTAAAATTGCCAGAATAAAAAGAAAAAATAGAAAATAGCAAGTGTTGGCATATGTAAATATATTCATATGAATGAATTTCATTCCACCTTAAAAAGGAAAAAAAATGCTGTTACAAGCAACAATATAGATGAACCTTGCAGACATAATGCTAAATGAAATAAGCCAGTCACAGAAAGAGAAATATGATATGATTCCACTTACATGAGGAATCTAAAGGAGTCAAACTACAGAAGCAAAAGATGGAAGAGTGATTGCTGTGGCCTTTGTAGATTGAAAAATGGGTAGTTGTTGTTCAGTGGAAAGAAAGTTTCAGTTTTGCAAGATGAAAAATCCTAGAGATCAGTTGCACCAAAATGTGAACACAATAAACACAACTGAACTATGCACTTAAAATGGGTAAGAGTAAACTTTGCTATATTATTTGCTACAATTAAAAGATGTTTGATGAAAACTAAAGATGGAAAAAATACCTGTTCTGCTTCTGTATTAATCACCACCAAATGTGCCCCCATTTCAGCACATTTCTCTTCGCTCTTAGCCCAAAAATGTTGTTCAGTAGAAATGAGGTAGCAGCTTGAACCAAATGGCTTCCAAGTACTTGGGCAACATCCCCAGACTTTTTCTGTATTATATGAAAGAGAAATGTGATTGCAAGGTGAGACAAATTAGATGAAAGAGATATGTTCTATACACATAAAACTTCCAGGATCTGTGGTTGTTATCTAGAGTTGGTTTCTTAATTCAGGTATTAACTTTTCTCTGAATTATATAATTTGGGGGTCATAGAATTGATGTTAAGTAAACATTCTTAAATATTAAGTCTTCAATATTGAATAAGTTAGCCTACGAAATTCCTCTGGGTTTTTTGTTTGTTTGTTTTTCAATAATTGACTACTGAGTTAGCCTACAAAATTCCTCTGTTTTTTTTTTTTTTGTTTGTTTGTTTGTTTGTTTGTTTTCCAGTAATTGACTACTGGGGCTGGAGTTGTGGCTCAGTGATAGAGCGCTTGCCTAGCACATGTGAGGCACTGGATTTGATCCTCAGCACCACATAGAAATAAATTTTAAAATAATAATAATTGACTACTGTTGTTGGAGATTTTTTAGTCCTGTTGTTCCCTGTCTCTTATACATCATAAGTTCAAAGTTGTCTTGAAGTTTTAAATGACTAACACAGATGAATCTGGAAATCCAATTCTACTCATGGATCTTGAATAAGCCACCAAGTTTTAGGTTTCTGAAATGTAAATTATAACTATTAGAATTATGCCTCATTAATTATGCCTGATTAGAATTCTGGCTCTACCATTTATTTCATGTGTCTTTAAGCTAGTTATACTACCTCCTCCTCCTCCTCCACCCCTTTTATTTTTTTCTTCCTTTTTATTAACCTTTTAACATTGGGTATCAAACCCAGAGCCTCAAACATGCTAGGCCAAATATCTACCACTGAGCAACTCCACCAGCCCAATATTACCTCCTTGAGTCTGTTATTTCATCTATAAAAATAGAAATAATAAAAGCGACAACTTCATGGGGGATTTAGTCACATAATACATGAAAAACATTATAAAAGATACTTAACTCAGAATAATTACTCAATAAATGTCACTTACCACTAATTTTATCACAGTATCAAGCAATTTAAAGTGTTTTAATGATCAGTTCTCTCCCTTTTTCTCTTAGAAGTATCAGTTTGTAGGATTGAAGAAATCGATACCTAGCCATATATAAATTCACTGCCATATTTTTTATTAGACATATACTCAGCATGACTTATACTATATGTATAATTTTAGCATAATATATATGTATGCTTAAATAATTAATTCTTTAGATTTGTTTTCAATTTTTACCAAGGTATGAAAATAGAGTGCTGATAATGTGACTCAGTGGTAGAGCATCAGTTAAGCATAACAAGGCACTGAGTTCAATCCTCTGCACAGCAGAAAGAAAACATAATAATATATGTAGTCTTCTAGAGGTTTTTTAAAATTTCACATGATTTGTTCATATTATTACACACAGACTTATGTTAATCATTTCTGTTGTTACACATTAAGTGATGAAAATCTATAGACTTATTCTTCCTTTAGACTTATTCTTCCTTTTATAATGCTACAAAATGAATAAAATAGACAACATATTTATCAATTCACTATTAGCTGCTTTTAGAACATTACTTATGCATTCCATTCACTAAGGATTCCTGCTTTTTACAATGCTCCTCAAAGTGCATATTAATGTATGAATTTTAAGATTTAATTATCTTTTTCAATGGTGGGTTTTGGCTTTGTCAATTAAGTTACATACTGAAACATTTTTCATATGTCAAATATAACAAATCTCAAAAAGTTGACCAAAAAAAATTGAAAACTCAGTGGCAAAGGTTTCTTAGAATTTGTGAGGTCCAGTGTGCAATCTACACCTACAACAACAAAATAAATATTCATTTTATAAAATTTATAAAATAAATATTTAAACTTGTACAACAAATATTATAAATATATATGTTCTTATGTAAATGCTGATTTTAAATCCTTCAGCTATATGCCAGGGAGTGGTATAACTGTCAAATGGTGGTTACATTCTTCATTTTTTAAGGAATCTTCATACTGCTTTTCAGAGTGGTTGAACCAATTTGCAGTCCCACCAACAATATATGAATGTAACCTTTTCCCCACATCGTCTCAAACACTTATTATTGCTTGTATTTTTGATAATTGCCATTCTGGCTATAATTTTAATTTTCATTTCTCTAATTGCTAGAGATGTTGAACATTTTTTCATATATTTGTTAATCATTCTATGTTTAAAAATATAATTATATATTTATATATTTATAAAGATAAATATTATAAACATAAATATACATGAAATATGCTTATATATAAGCTTATATATTTATTTACTCATAAATATATAAATAAAAAATTTATAAATATTTATTTATAAAAGAAATTTATTTATAAAAATCCACTGTGCTAAGAAAACCATAGGTCAGGGAAAGCAAAGAAACCATGCTTTGGATTCCCTTGCAACATATTCTTGCCAAATACCTAAAAAGAAAAAAATTTAACATCTCATAGAAATGGAAAGAAACATCTGCCTTCTTTAAAAGGTTTTGCCATAGCAATAGGGTATTCATTACTCCTGAAAAACAAGAGTCTGACACCTGCATAGATTTGGAAGCATTAAGACCATAAGACCTCCATAGACATGCGCTTTGCATATCTTTGGTATTTTGCACCATAGTGTAAAGCAGGCAACAATCCTGAACCCAATTCTCCAACATCTGATGGTATTAGGAGTGTATTTTGGAGTGTGGTGATCTAAACCTGAAATAATCTGGCTAGTAATAAAGCTAGTGATAAGAATGAAGAAGGATAGTATTAATTGGGAAACTTACTTATCAAAAATGGAAATTTATTTTAATAAAGGGTGAAAATAATGTGGAAATTGTGAGAATTATTATTTCCAGAGTTAACTTGAGCAAACGTGTGGATGTTGACAGCATTCATCAAGATCAAGAATTTCAATATATCTTGATATACATAACTAAAGCCTGATATGAGCATATAAGTTTAGAGACATTTTGAAGATATACAAGAAAAAACTCTCTCTCTCTCTCTCTCTCTCTCTCTCTCTCTCTCTCTCTCACACACACACACACACACACACACACACTAGAATACACCAACCTTGAGCTCAACCCTGAGTTTTCTCCGAGAAAGGGAAAGTGTAGATAAACATTGTGAATCTTTACCTGTCACCATTGTCCCTTCACTGAAGCAGATTAGATTTGAATGATATGTATGTAGTACAGACAGTCTTTTGTCATATTTGTTACTTGCAAAATGGTAAGTCACTGAAAAGGAAAGAAAAGGATGAGAATCCACCCATAGAGCCTCATGCTTTCTATCTGTACCAAGCCAGCTTACTTCCCACCCCACCACTCTTCTTCCTTATGCAAGCCAGTAGGGACCAGCCTGAATTATGCTTGCTTATATTCATTTATCTTACTTGTTTGTCTGTCTGACGATTTATTTTTGTCTCTTCCCCCACTATAATTTAAACTCTAGATTCTACAGCAGAGATTCTGTTTTCTACATCACTTACTTGCAAATACCTAGAAAAATGACTTGCAACAAACCATGTACAGATATTTATTGACTTCCTGGAAATCTGGTATACATTATTTTAGTAATCTTGAAGAAGTCACAGGTTATATGAATATTTTCTAAATACTTCTGATTGCATGTAGCTATAGATAAACATGGTATAAATAACAACCAAGGGGAGACTTTAAACATTTGGAGATATTCTAAATATGTATATGTCTCAAATAAAAACTACCTTTCTTGTTCATGGGTGTGCATGTTAAACAACATTAAACAAAATCTATTGTCTCTCAGGTCCTGATTTGACTCTTCAATACTATTTCTCTTCTTTCACTTTTGCCTACTACTAAAGATCAATACTTTTACAAATTTCTAACTTTCTCTTGGCCCATGTTTGGCATCCTGAATTTCTGCTTCTTGACTAATGAAATAACTATTATTAACTCTCTTCTCTCTTGCACTTGATCTAGAGAACCAAAATATTTTATAACTTTGGTGATAATGATCTGTGTTTTACTTAACATTGATAGATTTATTTACTTCTCAAAGGAAAGTTCATGTATAGCAAGACTCTGACATAGCAAGCAACTTTCACTCCCTTACAGACTATTCAAGAACTATTTTTATTCACCTTATCAGTGAATAGAAAATCAAATTATAGATTGGACTAAAAAACTATGTTTGAGTTTTCTCACACAATGAACTTGAGATATTTATTTAGAGGCAAATGGAAAAAGGAAGGAATATTTTATCTCCTTACACTGTCATTATCTCATCTGAATTATTTTCCTCTCATATTTAAAGAGACACCCACATGAGTCAAATACCCCTATCTAAACTATAATCATTATGAAAGCAATCAGAGTTGCCTTCCCAATACAGGGATTTTTTGACTAGAAAACACATGATCAATGGGGGACCCAGTATTGAAAGATGGTACCTTAGGGGATCTACAAATAACACCCATGCACCTGGGAGGTCATGATTCAGCAAATGTTAACAAAGCCAGATAAAGTAAATCTAGAAGACTCCGTTGTTGAAAGATAGAGAAATAACAAGAAAGGTAGGAAGCAAAATCAAGAAAAGCATGCCATTCTGAGTAAGATATGACCTATTTGTAAGGTAAAATAGGATGAATCCCAGGGAATCTTTACAGAACATGAGAGAGAAAGAACCAAGAAAAAATGGCACCTCAGTGCCAAACTTACCGACACAGCTCACAATGAAACAAGCACTGAGGAGTATGATGGAAATCAGAGCAATGGACCAGAGCTTCAAGGACCAGCAGACTCTCTTCTCTATCAGACCAACAAGACAAATGCAAACCTCTCAGGATAGATAACACTGCTCTGAAACACAGAGCAATCTGGACAAAATTCATCAGGCAACTGTAAATTCCATTTTCATATACTTTCTTTCTTATTATTATATTCTTCTACTGATCACCTGTCTTTCTTGAATGATTAATGTTGTCTTCTGTGTTCATGTTTGATTGCTTATTCTTATAAGTGCTTCTGACTCAGAGAAATTATTCTTTCTTTCAAATTCCCAATTCTACTGCCTTGGCACAATCTCTATTGCTTAAATCTGTTCATTTTCTACCCCTTCTTTCCAGGTGACTCTTATCATATCATACATTTCTAACTTGCTATCTGGAGAAATGAAATACTCACCTCCACCTTGAGCTTGCCTTTCTTGTATCATTATGTGAGTCTCTGTGTGTTCAGAAGTTTCTAGAACCTTTTGTATCTCTCTGTCTCCCTGAAAATGTTACCCAGAGACCTGTTTTCATTCAAAGAGGCCAAGGCTCAGATAATAACAGCTCCACACTCTGATATGACTAATAAATGTCCAATGCTAATACACAAAGATCTAAAGTTTCCAGTGATTCAAAGACGTGGGAAAAACGAAAGAGGAAATTGAGAAACATACCCAAAACTGTTCCTGAAAATCTTAACAGAAATATTCAGATCATTTATTCAGTTTCTAACATGAAGTTTCTCATTAATTCCTATTCATTCCAGCATACAAAAGAAAACAAATTACATGCCCTAAAATAATTTATCTGTTGGCCTAAATAAATTGCTACCTAACACACCTTTATATTGGGTACTTCTTTTATGTAATGCTTAATTTCACATGTCCTAAGAAGTAAAAAAAAAAAGTCTGGTTGAATCAATATGTCTTAAGGGTTAATAAACAACAGAAAGACCCATGAACATTGTTTCAAAACTGTGACTCAGGCTCTACAGACATTTTCAAGACCCAAACAACCACCAGATGCTTTTCCCAGGATGGTGATTGTTGTACATGTTCCATCTTCCTCTGACTCTATGGCAATTAAGTAAAAACAGCAAGATGCATTTGGTTTCTTACAAGCCAAATATATATATATATTTACATTAAAATTACTTGCAGGTAATGTTTGTTATTTGTTAAACATTATAATTTCCTGCAGCAATTATGACATTCTCATTCTTCTGTAGAAGAAATATATATATATATATATAATTTGAAGAAAAAGATACTGCAGCAGTGAAGAGTTTCAGAAGTGAATGAGGAAAAATGTACCTGAAAATAGTCAACCAGCTACAGGGTATCCCCCACCACTTCAGATTCTCAGTGAAAGCCGTACTGTGGGGTCTATGATACCTTCTTTAGAACCTGAGAAAACGATGCAGTGTATGCATTTTTAGGCTAGATGGCACCACCTGGTTCAAAGCAAGCAGAAGGCCAGGCAAAGCACTAAGTATGAGCCTTAAGCATTTTGCCTTAAGCATCTTGAAAAATGAGTCTCTATTGCTTTTATAAAATAACAAAAGTATCTTGGCTTCAAAGGAAATATGCTTAGTGTTATAATAAATAGTTTAGTTTGTGTTCTTGCATCCAAACAAAGTAAATACATAATTAAAATGTGAATATTATGGTGAGGAAAATGGAAGATGAACATAAAATTTTAAGTAGATATCATGGGATAGTATTATAATCTGCCAAGGCATTTATGTACTTCAGTGATTTTACAAAGAAAGCACCCTTGTTTTCAAAACATTTTTATTGTAGCATCAGGGTATCTGCAGTTCAACATTAAAAAATTTAAAAAGAAGAGAGAATCTGTCTCTTGTTCACAAGTTGCCTCATTAATTTTAGTGAATAAGCATATGTACCTTTTTAATGTGATGTTATTATGATTAAAATTACTTGCAGGTAATGTTTGTGATTTGCTAAACATTATAATTTCCTGTGACAATTATGACATTCCCATTCTTCTGTAGAAGAAACTTCTATGTACTGAACCACAAGTTTTCCAAGCTTCTAAATGCAGAGTTTCATTGCATATATTGGATAGGAATAGATGACTTCCCACAAAAACAAAACGAAAGAAAATAAATGCATTCAGTTGAGGAGTTCCTTGTTTAACTCTACCATTATGGAAACATGTTTCTAAGTTGCTTGCCTCTGAAATGTTTATGTGTTTGTCACAAAAGTGGGATGGCATAAATTTAAAATGGCATCCTCTTTCAAAGAATTTTGTCACTTAACTATTAGAAAATGCTTTGGTAATCATAGCCCAAGATTTAATTTCTTGGGTTTTTGATAAAGAGATTTTAGGGGTTTTTCTTCTTTTAATAAAACTTGTAATCATGAATGTCACTATCTCTTGATAGATAACCTTTATATTTCAATTTTAACATATATTGTGTGAGTACATTAATGTAAGTAAAGAGAATATTTCTTTGGTTCCATAAAAAGCACAAATATCAAAATCAAATAAATAGAACAACTCTTACAATATATTTGAACATTTCTAAAAGACGAGAAACATGGCCTAAATAACTTATCCAGAAGATATCCACATTGTATGTTAGCTCCATGCCACTTTATTTATAAAAACAAACATCTTTTACTTTACACTACTTTGTTGTATCTGTTGTTTGCAAGTCTGTACTCTGCAAAAATCAACATATAAGAAGATGTGGCTTTGTTTACTGAGATTCAAACTTGATGTGATGCTTTAAAATAAACTCAAAATTTTTACAAACATAAAAAAAAAATTGACTGATTGACTATAAAATGGAAGTCTCCAAGATCTATCCACAGAGGGGTTGTGATTTGTGTTTTCACTATACGGTGGTTCTCAAGAATCTGTTAATTAGTATCTTAATTATGTTAATGTGGCTATGCTCTGATAGCACTAACTCCATCTTGATTTTTCTCTTATAACACAAGCTGTAACTGATAGTCACTTTGGCAACCAACTGATTGATAGCTATGTTGATAACTGTGCACTGATATGTAAATGAGATAGTTGACTCCTGGAATATTTCCCTCCAAATTAACATCTGGAAATTGAGACAATATACCTGGGACTACAAATACAATGGCTTCAGACTCCCATTTTGAGACACACCTCACTATGACAATGTTCTTTAATCATTCTGAATTGGCATCAGCTCTGGAGGCTCTGTCAAGAAGGAACAATTCCTTACTTCATTGCTGATGTTTTGATAACATTAAGGACCCATTCAATTGTCACCCTTGAAGGAACTTTTCTCCTGGACCATGTATACAGTTCTTTCTGTAGAAGTATGAATTTTTTTGTTCATTGCTAGCCTTTTGTGCACAAGTAATTTTCTTTTACCTATTTTCACCTGTTTTTACATGTTTCAGCATAAGGTCAGGCAGCACCGACCAAAAGGACGCAGATTAAAAATGCTGCTGAACAAGGCTTTATTAAGGTTCACTCCCAGGTGAGACCCTCCAGACTAAAAAGGTATCTGGGGAGAAGCATATGGGGGTCAGCCAGACTGGAATTTTTATTTGGCTTAGAGCAGGAAGGGAGGGCTTGGGACAGGAAAAGGAGGTATTTAGAGTCCCTTGTCCTATTGGGTTGGTCTGGGGAGATTGCTGAAATCCAGGATTGGTCAGAAGACCCAGGTGAGTTGCTTGGTGCTTTGTTCCTCAGCCAACCTCAAACTCTAACATCCAGTTGATGCAAAATGACCACTGTGCTTTAAAGGAAAATAATACAACATTTTATTATGAACTAAATGTGAGGGACTCAGGCCTCAGAGCAAAGGTTTAAATTGCTTTAAATGAAGAGTTCCAAAGAAAAGGAGGTTGTGACAATTTTTATAGATAGAAAACAAAGATAACTGTAAATTAACACTTTCAGTGATCATATGGTCACTGGGGGCATTATATAAGTGAGTTATGGTACAGTGGGGAAGTTTTAACCATTTAACTGAGATGGTACCTTACTACATTCTTAGTAGAAGGATTTGGAGATCCTTCCTCATTTGTACACACAACCTCTAGAATGTAGACCTTTCTGTCTATTAACATTACAAACATCATTCACTCCAGATAAAATTAGGAGTCTGCTCTTTGTTAAACTGTGGATAGTTAACCAGGTCAAACCTGCATCACAGAAAGTTTACCTAATAGACATGATAGTGTTAAGTCAGATACAAAAGTCAGGATTAATTAATTGTTTTCTAAATGTTGAGGGTCACAGCCAAGTTGGGACAACGCATGGTATTTTTGCCAGGATGGATTTGTTGAGAGGTGATGCCAGCAAGCCATTGAGATGATGATGGTTATGTTAATCTGTGTATTCAATTGTATATTAGATTCCCTGGCCTGCTACTTTGGAGTTCTCTCAGGATTCCTGAGTTCAAGTTTGTTGGTGAAGTGCCGGAGGAGGGATTTCGGGAGGAGGGATTTCCGGTTGGTGTGTGGTGTGTCCCTGGAGAAGGCCACTTGCTTGGCATTCACGGGAGTGCAGAGAATAAAGGAGTTCTGTTTTGAACCTACAAGGCTGTGTGGCGGCTCGGTTATTTTGTGCCCAGCCAGACTGCGGCATCTAAAGACCAAATTAACCTTTTAAAATAAGCCTCAGGTCTCCTACAAGTCTCCAGTAAGCATGCCTGTGTTTATTTTACATGTTCGTGTCCTGGGAAGATATTGTCTATCTAGTTCATGCTTGAAAAAAAATCTAATGGAATAGTATCTTTGGGTAAGTTTAATTTCACATTCCTTTTGTTTATTTTTCCTTATCATACTTTTGTGCACTTTATAATAAAATGATTACTTTGAGAACTATCTTTGTTTTGCTGGACTTATCAATGGATAAAAAAATGTGGCATATATACACAATGGAATTTTACTCAGCATTAAAAAAAAACAATAGACACTAGTATTGATGTATGTATAAACGTGGCTGTATAACCAATGTGATCCTGCAATCTGTACATGTGGAAAAATGAGAATTCATACCCCATTTGAATCAAATGGATGATATGTCAAGATCATTGTATTGTCTTGAGCAACTAATAAAAAAAAAGAACAAAATCATGGCATTTGCAGGTACATGAATGGCGTTGGAGAAGATAATGCTAAGTGAAGTTAGCCAATCCCCAAAATACAAATGCCAAATGTTTTCTCTGATATAAGAAAGTTGACTCATAGTGGGGTAAGGAGAGAGAGCTTGGGAGGATTAGATTCATTCTAGATAGGAAAGATGGGTGGGGGGGAAGGAGGGGACAGAGGATTCACAAAGATGGTGGAATGTGATGGACATCATTATAAAAAGTACATGTATGAAGACTTGAATTGGTTGTCAACATACTTTATATACAAACAGAGATATGAAAACTTGTGGTATATATATGTGTATTAAGAATTGTAATGCAAAGAAAAATACATGTATAAAGGCATAAATTGGTGTGAACATTCTTTATGTACACAGATATGAAAATTATAATTAT